CTCGGAATAGAGGTTTGCTCACTGAAAAATGCAAGTCTGAAATGCAAACCTGAATGTGGTGATAATAAGAGGCTGAGTGAGCTTAAGAGCCCAGCACCAGTTCCCAAAACCAAGCATGTGCTGAGAGGTTTACTATGGAGATGCAGATGATCAGATCCTAGTGTACTCTGAGAAACTGCAAGAAAGCAGGATTCTGAAGCCGCCATGCCAAAATGGAAGTTTCCTTCCAGTGTGGTTTCAGACTTAAAACTTCACCATTAAAGGTAGTTCATGTGGCTGGGTGTGATGCCTCACACCTATAATCACAGCACTTCGGGAGGCTAAGGCAGGTAGATCACCTGAGGTCAGGAGTTCAAGACCAGCTTGGCCAACATGGTGAAACTCCATCTCTACCAATAATAAAAAAATTACCCAGACGTTGTGGCACATGCATTTTGAAATCCCAACTACTTGGGAGGCTGAGGCAGAAGAATCACTGGAACCCAGGAGGTGGAGATCGCAGTGAGCCAAGATCACACCACTGCGCTCCAGTCTGGGGGACAGAGCGAGACTCTATCTCAAAAAATAAATAATAAATAAATAAAGTTCATGTCAAAGAAGGAAAACTGGGTTAAAGCCAAGAGCAATAGGTAGAGCCAAATCTAGCTGGAGTGGAAAGAAGATAGCCAAACTCAACAGGCTGGGCTAAGAAACAAATATTAACAAAAATGGCATTTCTTATTGGAGATGTTCTGTGAGTCTAGTGCTGTTCTAAGTCCTCCTCGTCATAACTCATTCAGTCCACATGACCCCACCCTAACAATCAGGCATTTTCACTTGTTGTTCCCATTTTAAAATAAGGAAATTGAGGCTCAGAAAGGTTATGTAACTTATCCAAGGACCCAGAGCTAATAAGTAGAAAAGCTGGGATTCAAACCCAGGCCATTCCATTCCAGGATTCAGGCACTTAACGACTGGAATGGTGCCATGATCTTAATGTCCTCAAAAGACCCACTTTGGGGCTGGGCACCGTGGCTCATGCCTATAATCCCAGCACTTTGGGAGGCCAAGGCAGGAGGATTACCTGAGGTCAGGAGTTCAAGACCAGCCTGACCAACGTGGTGAAACCCTGTCTCTACTAAAAATACAAAAATTAGCCAGGCACAGTGGCAGGTGCCTATAATCCCAGCTACTCAGGAGGCTGAGGCAGGAGAATCGCTTGAACCCAGGAGGCAGAGGTTACAGAGAGCAGAGATTGCACCACTGCACTTCAGCCTGGGTGACAAGAGTGAGACTCTATCTTAAAAAAAAAAAGACCGACTTTGGAAACTAACATCCACCTTGTTTCATCAAACTTAAGTAAACCTGAAATGTTATGATTTCATCATTTTTACTGATTTACTTATAATTATTATCCCTTTATGAATTTTCATTTTCTAAAATGACTACTGATAAAATATTGATAATTCTTATCAAAAGGGCATTTGTTTTTTTAAGAAACACATTATTAAATGGGGAAGAAAAAGTATGGCATTGTAGACAGATGGGGTCAAGCCTCTCATGGGCAAGCCCTGAAGAGTGACGGCTCACAGCGAGGATGCCCGCCCTCACCCACTGAGGACAGCTGACCCCAGAGGGTCCACTTCTTGATATCCTGCATGGAATGGTTAAACAGCAAAGTGCATGTTGAAACCAAAAAACCCAGTATCTCATCAAGTTTACAATGACAGGAGAAGACCAAAACTTTGCTCTACTGTTCACAGACGAACATGGGCTTAGCCAAGGAAAGGTGCTAGTGTAAGTCTGTGTGCTATGGGTTGACTTCTTATTTTTCAATTAGAGAGAAAAATATGAGATGGTTTGACAAAGGGTGACTGACAAGCATGGCTTAGATTTTTGTTTTCAAGGTTAAATGTTCTCAGTCAACAACTGGGAAAACTACAGATATTTAACTAAACTTATGCTTCCAACAATGGCTAAGTGCTCTAAGGCAGCAGTCCCAAACCTTTTTGGCACCAGGGACCAGTTTTGTGGAAGACAGTTTTACACAAATGAGGGGGAAGTTTGGCCTGGGGCCAAACTCTAGGGAAAGGAGGGGATACTGAGCCCAGACTCTCAAAAGGCGTGAAGGGCGCCAGGTCTGGATCAACCAGCAGAAGCAGATGCCACTTGTCCCTATAGGAAACTGTTCTCAAATTCCCAATTCCAGCTCAAAGGACTGATCAAGATTAAGCAAAATGGGCTGGGTACAGTGGCTCATGTCTGTAATTCATGCATTTCGGGAGGCTGAAGGGGAGGATCACCTGAGGTCAGGAGTTCGAGACCACCCTGGCCAACATGCCAAAACTCCATCTCTACTAAAAAATACAAAAATTAGCCAGGTGTGGTGGCAGGCACCTGTAATCCCCGCTACTCCCCAGCTACTCAGGACGCTGAGTCAGGAGAATCAGTTGAACTCAAAAGACAGAGGTTGCAGTGAGCCAAGATTGTGCCCCTGGACTCCAGCCTGGGCAACAGAGTGAGAATCCCTCAACAAAAAGAAAAAAATTAAGCAAAATCCTACAATCACAGGTCACCAAACACAGAAGAAAGCAAATCACAGTGAACATCACCTGAAACAAAAACCCTTAAATTCTCAAGAGCTGTAGATGCTGGGATTGTCAGATACAGAATATAGCATAGCTGTGCATGACACCTAAAGAAATAAAAGGCACAGCTGGCCAGGCGCAGTGGCTCATGCCTGTAATCCCAGCACTTTGGGAGCCCGAGGCAGGCAGATCACCTGAGGTCAGTAGTTCAAGACAAACCTGGCCAACATAGTGAAACCCCATCTCTACTAAAAATACAAAAAATTAGCCAGGTGTGGTGGCAGGTACCTGTAATCCCACCTACTCGGGAGGCTAGGGCAGGAGAATTGCTTGAATCTGGGAGGCAAAGGTTGCAGTTAGCAGAGATCGCACCACTGCACTCCAGCCTGGGTGACAGAGAGAGACTCTGCCTTAAAAAAAAAAAAGAACAGAAATAAAAGGCACAGTCACAAGGATCACCAGTGAAAGAGTATTTGGAATGAATATATACATTTGGGGAAAAACTGTGCAACTTTTACAAATAAAATATAAAATTGTTAAAATCAAAAACTCCATCATCAGGTTAAACATTAAATCAGACAGAGCTAAAGAGAGAATTAATGAATGGAAGATATACATAAATGTTTTTACTACATGTGACTATATCACTGCAATTGAAATCAAGTTTGAGAATTAAAGATTGTTGATCAAAGAGGTCATGAGCTGTCTTAGTTCATTTACACAGAATGAAAAGTGTGGCAGGTGGAACTACAGTGCTGGAGGGAGGGAAGAACGAAGGGGAGATGGTGTTCCCTATTTTTTTTTTTTTGAGGTGGAGTCTCCTCTGTCACCTAGGCTGGAGCCCAGTGGCATGGTCTTGGCTTCCTGCAACCTCCACCTCCTGGGTTCAAGAGATTCTTCTGCCTCAGACACCCGAGTAGCTAGGACTACAGGTGCGCATCACCATGCCCAGCTAATTTTTGTATTTTTAATAGAGATGGGGTTTTGCCAAGTTGGCCAGGCTAGTCTCAAACTCCCGACCTCAGGTTATTCACCTGCCTCAGACTCCCTATTTATTTTTTTGCACCTTTTAAATGATTTTCTGGTTGCATGTATCACCTATTTATGCAAAGGGATTTTCAAGTCTTTAGAAGATTGAAATAGACACAAACTATATGGCCTCTCAACAAGAAGATATACCTAAAGAAAATTTCAAGAACAGGGCCAGATGCGGTGGCTCACATCTATAATCCCAGCACTTTAGGAGGTCGAGGCGGGTGGATCATGAATGAGGTCAGGAGATCAAGACCATTCTGGCTAACATGGTGAAACCCCATCTCTACTAAAAATACAAAAAATTAGCTGAGTGTAGTGGTGTGTACCTGTAGTCCCAGCTACTCAAGAGGCTGAGGCAGGAGAATCGCTTGAACCCAGGAGGCAGAGGTTGCAATGAGCCAAGATCACACCACTGCACTTCAGCCTGGGTGACAGAGTAAAACTCCAACTCAAAAAAAAGAAAATTTTGGCTAGGTGTGGTGGCTCACGCCTGTAATCCCAGCACTTTGGGAGGCCGAGGTGGGCAGATCTTAAAGTCAAGAGATTGAGGTCATCCTGGCCAACACGGTGAAACCAATCTCTACTTTAAAAATACAAAAATTAGCTGGGCGTGGTGGCGTGTGCCTGTAGTCCCAGCTACTTGGGAGGCTGAGGCAGGAGAATTGCTTGAACCTGGGAGGCAGAGGTTGCAGTGAGCCGAGATTGAGCCACTGCACTCCAGCCTGGCGCCTGGTGACAGAGCAAGACTCTGTCTCAAAAAAAGAAAAATCAAGAACAAAAAAGCCTAACTTTTGGACAATAGAATAGCCTGATGTCTCTCTTTAGAAATTTTCCTGACTATAGCAGGTACAGCACTATAGGAAATGGCTGTCATAGCCACACAATTACATGAAGAAGGGATCTTGAAAAACTAAGGACATGGTGACAAAGACAAAAATGTATTACTGCCAGGTACGGTGGCAAGAGCCTGTAGTCCCAGATAACCAGGAGGCTAAGGCAGGAAGACTGCTTGAGCCCAGGAGTTTGAGTCCAGACTGGGCAACACAGTGAGACCCCATCTCTTTATTTAAAAAAAAAAAATCCTTGGCATTGAACTTGAAATGTCAGCTGAATTCATTTCAGACAAACTTTCAGAAATCAATCGGCAACATCATATTTTGGAGAACGGGACATTAGCATGACTTTCAAAACCAACAGTATTATGCTTGCTCCTGGTCTTTTGGGCTGGGTTTCCAAGTATCCTGGGTCCTGCCACCTCCTTTGCTGCAGGGAGGTGACTTTCCAGAGAAAGTCAAAGAAACACAAAGGGATTCTGACAGAATAGAGAGAGGCACATCTTGATTTGACTTGTCAAGCGATACTGTCAACCAATGCTTCTACTTATCTATGGTTTCTTACCCCAAAAAGCAGGAAAGGAGAAACTGTAGGATAAACAGAACATTCTTCCATTGGTTGAATTCAGTAGCCTATTATTAAAAAGAAAAAAGCTAATGATTAGGTTAATTACATTGCAGTTTTATTGATTTTACCAAACTGCATTTTGATACATGAACCATTTTCCCAAACAGAAAATATAATGCTAAAAATCCTAGGTGATACTAGTTATGTGATGTTGGGCAAATTAATTTTCTTCCCTGAAACTCAGATTCACTTTGCAGAATGTAGATTATTTAAAAAAAGAAAGCCTTCCTCAAAAGGTTGATATAAGGACCGAATGAAATTGGTTAAGGCTTTGCAGACGACCAGCACAAAATCCTGATCACTATTACTGCTGATTCATGGACTTTATACATCTTTGCTAATTTAATTTGTGGTCCCAAATTCAAGGTTGAGTTTACATTTTATAAATAATTTTAGAAGAAAGTTTATTATCTCTCTCTTTTTTTCTTTCTTTCTTTCTTTTTTGAGACCAGGTCTTGCTCTGTCACCCACGCTGGAGTGCAATGGTGTGATCATGGCTCACTGCAATCTCTATCTCCTCAGATCAATCAATCCTCCCACCTCAGCCTCTTGAGTAGCTGGGACTACAGGCACAGGTCACCATGTCCAGCTAATTTTTTTCTTTTTTTTTTTTTAGTAGACAGGGTCTTGCCATGTTGCCCAGGCTGGTCTCGAATTCCTGAGCTCAAGTGATCTGCCTTCCTTGGCCTCCCATAGTACTGGGATTACAGGCATGAGCCACCACACCCAGCCAGAAAGTTAATTCTTAATAATGTGGGCAAGAAACGTTTAAGTTCAAAAACTGTTTTCAAGAACTTCCACATGTTTAGGAAGTATTGCGAACAAATAAACTATTATTTGCTACCTATAAAGCAATCAAGTAATTGGCGTGGAGGAGATGGTAGACAAAGAAGTATAATACTTCATTTCTGGCCGGGCACGGTGGCTCACACCTGTAATCCCAGCACTTTGGGAGGCGGAAGCCGGTGGATCACCTGAGGTCAGGAGTTTGAGAACAGCCTGGCCAACATGGTGAAAACCCATTTCTACTAAAAATACAAAAATTAGCCAGATGTAGTGGCAGGTGCCTGTAATCCCAGCTACTTGGGAGGCTGAGGCAGGAGAATCGCTTGAACCCAGGAGGCAGAAGTTGCAGTGAGTCAAGGTCGTACCATTCCACTTAGCCCAGGGAACAAGAGCGAAACTCTATCTCAAAAAACAAAAACAAACAAACAAAATAGACTCAATTTCTGCTGTCCAGGAGTTTAATCCCTAACTGAGAAAATAAAATTAACCCTCTTGAAATGACAGGTGACAATAAGAAGGAGTATTTCATTTGTGGTTGGTCCCCTGCCCGTATCCAAAAATGATTTTTAAGATGCCTGAAGACTGTTCATAAGTATGTGCTCGATAACATTATTGAATATAAGTTCTACTCACTTTCTATTAAGCAATACTTTGTTAGCCAAGTTTTAGAAACTCTATACATTTAAAATGAAATCTTTTAACTTTATAATTCACATTTTAAACAAGGTAGAATGCTCTTCTCTAATTAGTACCATCTTGCCACATTTCACTGTCATTGTTTCATTAGTAATGCTTTGCCCACTTATCAAAAAGAAACACATTACAAAAATAAGCTGTGCATGCTGGTATGCACACTTATGGTCCCAATCTGGAAGGTGGAGGTTGCAGTGAGCTGAGATTGTGCCACTGCACTCCAGCCTGGGCGACACAGTGAGACTCTGTCTCAAAAAAAAAAAAAAAGATGTGCCACCTGGGAGGATCACTTGTTCCCAAGAGGTTAAGACTGCAGTTGCCATGACAGCCTGGGCAACAGAGTGAGACTCTGTCTCAAAAAAATACAATAAAATAAATAAAAATAAAGTATATATTAAGTCTCTTGTTCTTTATATAAGGGAGGGATATGTTTTTCACACATGAAGGAGAAAGCAAACACTTTTCATATACAAATAAAGTAATTGAGATGACACTGGAGAATGTGTTTCTAGAGCCAGAGCACCTGGACTGGCCACCTGCTATCCTTGGGAAGATATTTAAACACAATACCCCAGATGCTTCGCCTATACAACGGAAATATTAACGCGACCCTCTCTTCTGTGGAAATGCAGTGAGACAGTTCATGAACAATGCTTTGAAAAATGTCTGACATAAGCCCTCAACAAATACTAGCTAGTATTATTATTACATGAGAAAGTAGAAGAATTCTGCATGATAATCATTACAGGCAGGTGGCAACTTCTGAAAACACCATGCTACAAGTTTAGAAGTCAATGACATTGATATGAGAACACTTACATCTTCTGAAACAATGTTATATATTATTAACATAATATACCTAATCTATTCTACTCATAAAGTACCTAAAATTCAGTTTCTGGCCACTATGCCTTTCACAGCGTTGTTCCCATGGGGAAATGTGCTTTTAGTCCCAATAAGATGTTTTAACAATCTTTAGGAGTTTCTAGATTTCTATTTCTGGATATATATATATAGCCAGAATTTCAGAACAGATAAACTCCAGTGATAAAAAAATAAAAATTTAAATTTAAAAAAAGAAACTTGTTTTTATAATAATGAAAGAAGGGCCGGGTGCGGTGGCTCACGCCTATAATCCCAGCACTTTGGAAGGCCAAGGCGGGTGGATCACAAGGTCAAGAGATTGAGACCATCCTGGTCAACAAGGTGAAACCCCGTCTCTACTAAAAAAAATACAAAAATTAGCTGGGCATGGTGGTGCACGCCTGTAGTCCCAGCTACTCGGGAGGCTGAGGCAGGAGAATTGCTTGAACCCAGAAGGCGGAGGTTGCGGTGAGCCGAGATTGTGCCATTGCACTCCAGTCTGGGTAACAACAGCGAAACTCCATCTCAAAAAAAAAAAAAAAATGAAAGAAGACAAGCCACTAGGACCACTTCATTAAGAGTTCATAATTTTTTTTTTTTGAGACGGAGTCTCGCTCTGTCGCCCAGGCTGGACGACAGTGGTGCAATCTCTGCTCACCGAAACCTCTGCTTCCTGGGTTCAAGTGATTCTCCTGCCTCAGCCTCCCAAGTAGCTGGGAATATAGTTGCCTGCCACCATGCCCAGCTACTTTTTGTATTTTACTACCTAAAATACTCTCTACAAGACGGGGGTTGCCGGGCGCGGTGGCTCACGCCTGTAATCCCAGCACTTTGGAAGGCCGAGGCGGGTGGATCATGAGGTCAAGAGATCGAGATCATCCTGGTCAACATGGTGAAACCCCGTCTCTACTAAAAATACAAAAAATTAGCTGGGCATGGTGGCGCGTGCCTGTAATCCCAGCTACTCAGGAAGCTGAGGCAGGAGAATTGCCTGAACCCAGGAGGCAGAGGTTGCAGTGAGCCGAGATTGCGCCATTGCACTCCAGCCTGGGTAACAAGAGCGAAACTCCATCTCAAAAAAAAAAGATGGGGGTTTCATCTTGTTGGCCAGGCTGGTCTCAAACTCCTGACTTCCGGTGATCCACCTGCCTCATCCTCCCACAGTGCTGGAATTAGACATGAGCCATGGCACCTAGCGAAGACTTCATAACTTTGTTTTATGTAATGTTGCTGGCACTGACTCAGTTTAAAATTAATTGATGGTAGTTGAAAAACAAATAAAGCGTTTTCAGATATCCTGCCCTGCTCATTTTTAGTACAGAGGGGCAGGTGCCTGCTTTATCTTCCAACACGGAATTAACAGGGAGGCCCAGGTTCACAATGTTCTGACCTGAAACACAGAGCTCTTTATTGAGATTGGTGCCATTTGGTGGTTTTCCATATAAACCCGTGAAAATGGCTATTTGTGTCTGGGGACGAAGCTGCTAAGCCCTTCTGCTGATCCCTCCTTCCGGGAAGGGAACTGGACAAATGAGAAAGTCCAGCTGGAGAAAGAACAATGAGCCGCCCAGGAGTCCACAGCAGCCTCCAGCGTTCAGAGTCACTCCAACCCTAAAAGGGCTGCAAATGGATGACGTTCAACAGGTGTGCATCACACACCCATGCTTATCGCTAAATAGTCTGTCGGTGGTGAATGGGTGCTGCCCCAGCCTCGAGCCAGCAATGCAGGGTTACCACCTGGCTGGGCAGGGGGGTGTCTGGAGTTGAGTCTGTGGGTGGAGGCCCCACTGAGGAGGGTTTTGCCAATCACACTTGTTTCTCAGATTCAGTTACATCCAGCAAAATTCTCAGAGGCTGTGTGGTCCATGACTTCCAGAAGAAGTCTGGGCTTGCTTGCACCCTGAAGGGTAGGCACTATGGCTGTCACTATGGTGAATGTCCATACTCCCTAAGAGACGTGGCCTCCACCACTCCACTGGGCCTCAGATCTTACTACTATTTTGCCGTTTTATTTGTCTCTCACCAGCAGCAGATAGGGTTACCAGGGCAAATACTGAAAGAACACCACCTTCCCAAAATTGAAATGTGGATCCTGGAATATTCAGAGGTAAAATGGTGTGATGGCAGGGATAGGTTTCAAAATACTCCAGAGGAACAAAAAAGTGGGGGTGGAGGAGAACAGATAAAATAAGATAGTAAAAGGTCAAAGTGTTAAAGCTAGGTGGTGGGTCTGTGACAACTCATTGAATTATTCTATTTTGTGCATGTTTCAAAATGTCCATAATAGACAGTCACACAAATAAAAAAACCTAGTTTTTAAAACTATCAAAATCCCCTTCTAGGGTAAGCAGCTCTCCCAGGGCCCCCGCATTAGCAAAGGGGGATACAGAACTCAAACTCAGATTCTTATCGTTGTTTTCCAAAAAGTTCCAAGTCCAGAGTCCTTGGCACTCCTTGATATGTGGCTAAGGATACATGCCAATGCAAGAGTAGTGCCAAAAGGTGTCATTAGGGATATCAAACATCTTCCTATGACACACCCTTCCTGGTAGTCCTAGCTACCTCAACATGTTTTATTTCAATGCATACCAAATATTAAATATTAAACTTTCTAAAGCCGGCTAAGGAAAATAGGAATGATTGTATCAGCTCACCTGCCGCAGGTCTCCTGTGGAGACACTAATAATAACAGTTGGGATGATCATGAAGCAGGCATTGTAGAAAAGCACTCCGTATTTCCCTAGCTCCTGCAAAAACAGAAACAAAAAAGAAAACCACTCAATTTTACAGACGTGACGCATAGATTTCCTGGAGCCACTTATACAACTGCATATTCATACAAAGTTAGAATATGCATTCTGAGCAACTCTATTGGAATATTTTCAGCCAATTTCTGAAATAAAATGCTTCATTTTGAAGGTACTGAGATTTTGGAATAAACATTTGTTTTACACCAAAACTACAGAGAAAACACATGGCAGTGGAAAGCCTCTAGGGTCCCCTTCATCTGCAGCATTCTAATTCTGTGGGCTTTTTAAAAGCATGTTATTCAAAATGGGAAATCAGGAATGAAATTAAGAACATTAAAAATGCTAATATAAACAAAACTCTTTTAAAAACATCTGCTCTTTCCACTAAAGAACAGCAGCATTCTATATTTACTTTCATTAAAGTGGCCACCCCACTTCACCGTTTTCAAAAACGGATGACACATTGTGATTCGCAAAAGACAACAAACCAGTTTTTGTAAAACGGCCACCATTAAAAAAAAAAATGGCCATGTTGGGGGTACAGAAAAAAAACAGTGGAGATAAAAAAAAAATAGCTCATGGAAATAAGCCTGTTGGTCAGTGATCTCCCTCATCCAACACAAAGAGCTTGAAACAAAGAAACATATGCCTGATTCATCCTCCCCGGCTTCCCGTAACAGCTGGGGGTGGGGGAGGGACGGTGCCTCCACGTGACAGGCAGACACACAAAAGCAGAGCTCCTCTGCCCCAGCCCCGCATCATCAGAAGCAGAAGCTATTGCAGGAGGAGAGCTTACAAATTATCCATTCCAGTCATTTCACTCCACAGGTGAGGAAACCAAAGTTTGGAGAAGTTATGGTTCAAAGTCACAACAGCCAGTAAGCAGCAAAACTTGTTTCTGTAACCAACATCTCCAGACCCCAAACTAGTGCTCTCAGAACAAACACTGTGACCCCTGACCTTGCTGCCTTGGTCACTGATGACGCTGGTATAAAAATTAATTTGCCTTTCAAAATAATCTCTTTTTATATATTTTGAGTGTGCATCTAAACTAGTGGCTTTGCCTATCCTATCTCATTTTCACCCAAAATTTTGCAAATAATAACTTATACAGATAAGATAACTAAAAATAATTCATAATTTACAGGTCATATTACATAGGTTAAATTACGGACCAGCTGTACACATTCATTTTCACTTTGCATCCTATTCTAGGGGCCAGATGACTCAGCCAAAACGCCATAGGTGAGATCTGATACCTTTGGGTCCATTTTCTGTTTGGTATAAACTCCATTTGCTGCTGTGAAGATGTCATTCAGGAATACAAAAATATAGCCTTCTAAGTTAAAAGCAAGGTCGGACCTGGGAAGGAGACCACAAAAGGAGAATGATTATTCAAAAACTCACAATTTGGCCTCCAAGCCAGCCTGTTCTATCTTTTGCTAATCAAGCCCGCCTTACTGTGGCACACTTTCCACGCTTTGTGGTAGCAAATGGTTAATTCCTCTGCTTTGCCTCCAGACAAAAACCAAAACAGCCATCAGGTGGCTTCAATTCCATCGTGAATGGCTTAAAACCAGAGGGACACTAACGATCTTCCTTCACCTGCAACCCCTTTCTTTTGCTAGCTGATGAATCCGTATAATAATCGGTGAGCCCTGACTTTCTGAAGCGGAGTCATTCACCCCAACCCACCCAGGGGCTTTGCTTATTGTAGTGAACAGGTCCAACCCCAGGGTGCAGCCAGTGAGGGGCAGCTGGGCAGAGACTGGGTAGGAGGGGTTGTGTGAGACAGTGACACCTCCATCTGGACCAAACCGCACCCTGTCCACCAAAATGGCCAGGCAGGTATCTATCCTTCTATGTTACCCCTCTAAGGCTCCTGTCTTCTCATTCTTTTGAAATATCTTCTCTTCCATTTCCATTGTAAATAGCACCAGTGTAAAACATCTGGGGAGCTTTGACAGGAAGGAGGGAAACATAAGAGTTGAGCCACACCGTGGCTCGCCCACCTGCACTTGGTCCTTGCAAACAGTGCTAGACCCAGGTCATAATTCAGAAATACACATTGCCAGGGAGGAAAGCCTTTTCCTGTACCATCTTAGGTTCAGTGCCTGCCTGCCCGCTAATTTAACTGACAAAAGACAGATTAACAGGAGAAAGGGAATACAAATCTTATTAATATGTTCCCTGGAGTTCACTGAAAAGAAGTGAAACTCAAACAGTTAGACTTGGGGACTTATGTTTTAACAAAGGAAAGAGGATTTGGGCTTCAAGAGACAACAAATACATTGTGTAATGATTAAAAAGTAACTAGGAAACCTACGGTGGAAATGATGAATGATAAGGGTTATTTAAGGGTTTTTTATGCAGACACATGTCAGGGCTGACCCTCCATTCCTTGATAGAATTGCTCTCCTCTTCCTGAGATGGGAGAAGGGTCCCCATCACAATGGGAAATTGATACAATTATCAATTAAATGGTTTTTTAGGCAGAAAGGAGAAGGCAGCAAACTTCCTGTATCTGTTGATTCTTAATTGTCCTCAGCTCAAAAGAATCCTGATCCCGGCTGGGTGCAGTGGCTCAGCACTTTGGGAGGCCAAGGCGGGTGGATCACAAGGTCAAAAGATCGAGACCATCCTGGTCAACAAGGTGAAATCCCGGTGCGCGCCTGTAGTCCCAGCTACTCGGGAGGCTGAGGCAGGAGAATTGCTTGAACCCAGAAGGCGGAGGTTGCGGTGAGCCGAGATCATGCCATTGCACTCCAGTCAGGGTAACAACAGCAAAACTCCGTCTCAAAAAAAAAAAAAAGAATCCTGATCCCGTAGTGGCATATTCTGCAGTGGCATATCCTGAATCTTATTCAATGTCAAAATAAGATTATCTCTAACCAAAGAGAATGAAACAGAGAGCAAAAATTGTACCAAAATCTGAATGCAAATTAAACTAGATGTTGGCTTCAGGCCTCCACACATTATCTACAAACATATTTGTGAAAAGGGATTAATTTTAGGTCATTATAAGTCAGAATTCTCTCTCAGTCAGTTTTTTAAAAAAAAGGATTTTCTCCAAAATAAGTCTTCCAAATCTCTTACCTACCCACATGTGATTCAGCGAGAAGAAGAGCAGAGTTTGCCTCCCCCAGAGATGGCAGAGCTGAGTGAGTGGATAGGGGATGAGGGAGTTGCCACCCACCTCCTCAGAGAGCTGCAGGGGAACTCCTCATCAGGGGACCAGAAGTTCCCAGCAGCGCTGTTCCCACTCCCAGAAGCTGGGACCACTGTGAGGTGGCTTACCCACTGTTTGTTAAGGCTAGTGGTGACAGCACAGACGTTTCTGAAGATTTTACTTGTTTAATCAATTATAGAAGATTTATGTAACCCCTGCAGTTGTTCAAGCGATCCCACCTTAGTCTCCTGAGTAGCTGGGACTACAGCCATGTGCCACCATGTCCGGCTAATTTTTTTATATTTATTTTTGTAGGGACAGGGATCACTATGTTGCCAGGGCTGGTCTTGAACTCCTGGGCTCAAGCAATCTTGTCCCTTGGGCCTCCCAAACTGCTGAATTGTCAGAGGCATGTGAACCAGAACAACTCCATCTTACAGGGAGCTGGGTAAAATGAGGCTGAAACCTACTGGGCTGCATTCCTAGATTGTTAAGGAATTCTAAGTCACAGGATGAGATAGGAGGTCGGCACAAAATACAGGCCATAAAGATCTTGCTGATTAAAAAAAAAAATACAACAACAACCTTACAGATGAAACAGGTTGCAGTCAAGGAGCTGGCCAAAAACCCACAAAACCAAAATGGCGACAAGAGTGACCACTGGTCATCCTCACTGCTACACTCCCACCAGCACCCTGACAGTTAACAAATGCCATGGCAATGTCAGGTAGTTACCTAATACGGTCTAAAGGGAGGCATGAATAATCCACCTCTTGTTTAGCATATCATCAAGAAATAACCATTAAAATGGGCAACCAGCAGCCCTTAGGGAGCTCTATGGAGTAGCCATTCTTTTATTCCTTTACTTTTTTTTTTTTTTGCTTTTAAGGAGTTTATCATCTATTATGGAGACATACAAGGTAAATTAAAGTAATACCTAAGAAGTCTTTGGAGTTCAATAAAGAAGAGATTATATTTACTTGGGAGAAATCAAGGAGAAGAAAAAAAGCTGAATTTTCATATCCCTAATCTCTCTTCCTAAAAGTATCCTAAATTTTCTTATGATTTCTTTCAGAAAAAAATAAAATGTGCATATACGTATCTTTTGCCCTTTAAAAAAAAAAAAAGCATTCTTGTGTGTGTATATGTTTATATGTGGTTTCTTCCTGGCAAAATCCTGGATCTTATCTCTTTTAAAATGTATTCCCCAGACTTGATTTTCATCTAGTTTAGAAAACTCTGTTATTATTATCTCAGATTTTTTTTCCAGCTCCTCCTCCTTTGGGGGCTCTAGTTAGATGTATTAGACTGCAAGTTTTCCCATTGACTCTGTTTCCCCACCTCTGTGTTTTATTTTTATGTTTATGTCTTCACTAATCTTTTCATCTACAGTGTAATATTTGTCTTACCCAGAGTATTTTTCATCTCACTCATTGTAGTTTTTAATCTCTAGAGGTTCATTTGGGTATTTCTCTATTTCACCTCTACCTAACCTGCTCAATCTTTCTTTGCCGTCTTGAAAATATGCAGTGCTGGGAGGCTGAGGCAGGAGAATTGCCTGAACCCAGGAGGCGGAGATTGTGGTGAGCCGAGATCGCGCCATTGCACTCCAGCCTGGATAACAAGAGCGAAACTCCGTCTCAAAAAAAAAGAAAATATGCAGTGCAGTTACAATAGCTGTTTTAATGTTCTTGCCTACTAATTTTATAATATGTCATTTCTGGGTCTGTTTCTAATGATTGATTTTTCTCATTATGGGTCATAATTTACTGTTTCTTTGCATACTTGGTAGTTTTTGATTGGGTACCAGATATTGTGATTTTTACCTTACTGGCTCCTAGACGTTTTTGTATTCCTATAAATATTCTGGAATTCTGTCTGGGATGTAGTTACCTTATTTCTAAGCAGTTTGATCTTCTGAGGTTTTCTTTTAAAAAAAAAGTTTTATTTCAATTAATTCGCTTACCATATAATTCGCTCATTTAAGTGTTTAATTTGGTATAAAAGTATAGTGGCTTATGCCTATAATCCTACTTTGGAGGCTGAAGTGGAAGGGCTGCCTGCGCTCAGGAGCTAAGACCAGCCTGGGCAACAAAGAAAAGAAAAGGCGGTGCGGTAGGCTTGTCGGGGACATCAGTGGCAAGGTCAGCGGTTCGGCGGCGTCCCAGGTGCTGACAGCGTCAGTGGCGCTGGCGGCGCGGTCGGCATGTCTGGGGCATCCGAGGCGCGCTCTGCTTCGGGGCGTCTGCGGCGTGGTGGCGGCGTCCCAGGCGCAGATGGAATCGGCGGTGCAGTAGGTACATCGAGAGCGTTAGCTGCGTCGGAGGCGCGGTCCGCGAGTCAGTGGCGTCCGTGGCGTCCATGGCGTGACTGCACCGTCCGAGGTGTGTCGGCGGCCTCGTCCCAGGTGCGGATGGCATCGGCGGGGCGTCGGGAGTGTCGACGTCACGGTAAGCTGGTCGGGGGCATCCACGTGTTGGGGACGTCCGCGGGGACGTCCGCGGCGCCGTCTGCATAGGCGGCGTCTGCGGCATGTCGGGGACTTCCGCGGCGTGGTCGGCGCCATCAGCGGCGTCTCCGGTGCGGTGTCCAAGGCGCGGATGGCATTGGCGGCGCGGTTGGCACGTCCGGAGTGTCGGTGGCGCGGCAGGCTCGCGGCGTGGTCAGCGGGTCGGCAGCGTCCCAGGCGCTGACAGCGTCAGTGGCAACGGCGGCGCGGTCGGCTCGTAGGGGGCGTCAGCGGCGTCCGCGGCGTAGTCTGCCTGTCGGGGGCGTCCGCGGTGCGGTTGGCATCAGCTGCATCCAGAGGGTCTGCGGCGTCTGCACGTCGGGGGCGTCGGCGGCGAGGTCGGCGCGTCAGGGGCATCTGTGGCGCGACGGCGGCGGCATCCCAGGCGCAGATGGCATCAGCTGCGCGTCGGGAGTGTCGGCGACACGGTAAGCTGGTCGGGGGCATCCACGGCACAGTCAGCGGTTCGCGGCGGCCTAGGCGCTGACGGCGTCCATGGCGTCCCAGGCGCTGACGGCGTCCGCAGGGTCTGCGGTGCGACGGCGGCGTCCGAGGCGCTTCGCCGGCGTCCCAGGTGCGGATGGCATTGGCAGCGCGGTTGCCGCGTCGGGAGTGTGGTGGCGCGGTAGGCTCGTTGGGGGTGGGTCAGCGGGTCAGTGGCGTCGGCGGCGCGATCCGAGCGACGGGGAAATCCGCGGTGCAGTGGGTATCGGCGGCGTCCAGAGGGTCTGTGGCGTACACTCTTTTTTTTTGAGATGGAGTCTTGATTTTGTCGCCCAGGCTGGAGTACAGTGGCGCGATCTCGGCTCACTTCAACCTCCACCTTCTGGGTTCAAGTAATTCTCCTGCCTCAGCCTCCTGAGTAACTGGGATTACAGGCTTCTGCCTAATTTATGTTCTCTTAGTAGAGACGGGGTTTTGCCATGTTACCCAGGCTGGTCTTTAACTCCTAACCTCAGGTGATCTGCCCTCCTCGGCCTCCCAAAGTGCTAGGATTACAGGTGTGAGCCACCGTGCCTGGCGGCTTCCTTTACCTTCTTAATAAACTTGCTTTCACTCTGCACTGCATACTCGCCCTGAATTCTTTCTTGTGTGAGATCCAAGAACCCTCTCTTGGGGTCTGGGTTGGGACCCCTCTCCTGTAACAGGATTACAGGCATGAGCCACTGCACCCAGCCCAGATGTTGTATTTTAACTTTTTCTGGCCATGTGACTTGCTTTTAAATAAAACGTAAGAGAAGGTGACACGTCACTTCTGGGCAAAAGCTTATAGATCCAGTGCCACATTCCCTTTTCCTGCTTGTTTAACCAAGGAAGTGCCCTCTGAGGCAGCCTGGATCCCTGAGTAACCACTCGGAGCGGAGCCCTCACACCAGCACTGCCTGGAGTTGGATGGCATGTGTGGGGTGGACAGGACACATCCGGTGAGTGAAGCCACCACCAAGTGGAGGTTGTTTGTTATAGCAGCATCACCTGCTCACCCACAGATCACAGTCTGATCTGCTACTGCACCTGGATGCATTAATGTAAGAGGAGAGCAGGATGGGGTCACTGCTGGCCTGTAGCTAAGCACTGTGCCCAGGCACTGGGAATGGCAGCCACCAGGAGGGATCTGTTCTGTGACTGCCAGAGGAAGGGCCAGTCTTAGCATGGCTACTCCAGGCTGGCTCTTGGTTGAAAGTTAGATGCTTTTAGAACCCCAATTTACCCTTTCAGATCGTTTGTAGACTGTCCTTACATATGTGAAGCACAGGCTGGATTTCTGCTCACTGGTTCTGCAAACCTGCCTACATACAAATGGTAACTGAAGGGCCATTCCTCACCAAAGACTTACCAGCAGTTTTATAAACCGTCTTTGACTCTAAGTCAGTGGTTTTTTAAAGTGAGCCCTAATGAAGCTAGAAGAGAGGGGCTGTGTTGGGGGAGACCTCAGAGTGCCGTGGGAGGAGCCCAGGTAATTATATCCCAAAATACAGTACCCTGGCATGCAGTTTCTTTCACATGGAAGGCCCTTGAAGGACAGCAGATACTGAAGAGGCTTTTCTTGGATACTCCCTTTTCTATCTTAAAAGCCTAGGCTTGCCCACAAGAACACACTCACTTTCCATCCCCCTCTCCAAAATCTAGTATAGAGAAGACTGAGGAATGCAGCCACATCTGGGCAGACTTAAAAAATATAATGTCTGCCTCTCAGGTGCAAGTTCCAAAGAGAATCAGTCCTTTACAACTTCTGTCTCCCAAGTCCATTCATTCTTTCCAGTCACCATTTCTGATCTCTCAAAAGCACTGTGTCCATTCCCCACTCTCCCCTGTGAAGAATGACACAGAAGCACCTGCACCCCACTCACGCATGGGAAGGTAAAATGTGTGTGTCTTTTTCTCCTTCTCCTCTCAAGCTGCTCTTTCGTCGGTTCCTTTGTTTATTGGTTTTGTTTTTGTTTTTGTTTTTTCAGATGGAGTCTTGCTCTGTCACCCAGGCTGTAGTGCAGTGGCACGATCTCAGCTCACTGCAACCTCCACCTCTCAGGTTCAAGTGATTCTCCTGCCTCAGCCTCCCGAGTAGCTGGGATTAAAGGCACCTGCCACCACGCCCAGCTAATTTTGTATTTTTCATAGAAACAGGGTTTCACCATGTTGGCCAGGCTGGTCTTGAACTCCTGACTTCAGATGATCTGCCGGCCTCAGCCTCCTAAAGTGCTGGGATTATAGGTGTGAGCCACCATGCCTAGGCTGTCAGTTCCTTTTTTAATAAATCTTCAGAGAGTAGAGGGGAAGCTGTCCCCCTTCGCTTCCACAGCATCTTCCACAGAACTCGCCCCTTTTTTTAAACTTCTTTATTCATAAAATTTCATTCCAAAAAAAGCTTATCATGACTAGACCAGGCTCTGAGCACTGCTGTCTAGTGTGTGCTGGCACTGTACCCGTGGTGTGAACCAGAAAGCTGAGACTACAGGGCCAGCTTTCAAGGGGTGAAACTCAGCCCACAGCTAGGACTAGGGAACAGAAAGGTACAGATGAAATGGAAGTAATAAACCTTAGTCTACACAATGGTCTAAATACATTTATAATGACGATAAGCATGATTTTTTTTTCTTAGAGACAGGATCTTACTCTGTTGCCCAGGCTAGAGTGCAGTGGTGCAATCACTGCTCACTGTAACCTCCAACTCCTGGGCCCAAGATAACTTGCCTCAGCCTCCTGAGTAGCTGAGACTCCAGACACATACCACCATGCCAGGCTAATTTTCTTTATTTTTATTTTTTTGTAGAGATAGGGTCTGTTGTCCAGGCTGGTCTCAAACTCCTGGATTCAAGCGATCTTCCCACCTAGACCTTCTAAAGTGCCGGGATTATAGCGGTGAGCCACCACACCCAGCCTCCAGTTCAGTGTTGAACCCAGGGAATGTAACTATTCACATGCACTATCCACCATTCTATAACAGAGGAATCTGAGCCCCTGTCTGATTTGGAGTCCTCATTATTCCTTTTACAAAATAATTATTAAAGTAGTAGTTGTGCACCAGTGTTGGCTCATATCCCAAACATACAAATATATTTAGCATTCTACCATCAGAAATAGCCACTGCAAAGTTATCATGGAATAATAAAATAAATCAGCACACAAAGGCTTTGTAAGTCTGTTATTGTTAATCAAATGCCTACGAACTTCTCAAGTAAAGTTGTTATATTGAAGACAAGCATTCAGTAAGAACCTAGACAGTTCACTGCTTTTTGTGAAGAAAAGCAATATTAACATCTTGCCATGCTCTCCTCATATATTCTCAGAACTGTCCTGGCCAATGTGGGACCCACTTTGACTTTCACAGGAACACATGGGGATTCCACTAACTTCAACAGATTTGTCTCTTGGCTGCTCAATTCAACTGCAGCCAGATGGAAAATGAAAACCTGAGGATGGGGCTGGGCCTATTGTCAAAGACACAAAGAAGTTATTGAGCAGAAACAGTCCAAAGTCTTACCCAGCTGCTATGAAAGCCCCGAGGACAATGGCAAAGACACTGACGATGATGCTCAGTGAATACTGTTTCCTGCAATAAATACATAAATAAGAAAGGGAAGGGAGCACAGAGGAGGACATTGACATATGATTGTATTTTTTAAGCAAATTGAAAATAGATGTAAACAGCTTTATAGCTAAAATCTAGTAGACTGTGCTTGATGTAGAGAAAGTACTAAAGGTGCTTCTAAGTCAGACTAACTTTACATTATTTCTTAAGCAGTTTTCTTAATCTAATTACAAGCTGATTTCTCAGTTCTCACTAGAGAGATATTGGGACAACATACAGAAGCAGTCCTGCTGGTGGATCAAGTTTGTACAGACTGATGGTGAGTATTCAAAGATTAAGATAAAATTCAACACAAGGGCTTAAAACACTGAAAGCACCAACCAAAATTCTTTTTTTTTTTTTTTTCGAGATGGAATCTCGCTCTGTTGCCCAGGCTAAAGTACAGTGGTGCGATCTCGGCACACTGCAAACTCCGCCTCCCGGGTTCAAGCATTTCCCTGCCTCAGCATCCCCGGTAGCTGGGATTACAGGCACCCGACACCATGCCCAGCTGATTTCTGCATTTTTAGTAGAGATGGGGTTTCACCATCTTGGCCAGACTGGTCTGGAACTCTTGACCTTGTGATCCACCTGCCTTGGCCTCTCAAAGTGCTAGGATTACAGGCGTGAGCCACCGCACTCGGCCAAAATTCATTTCTAATAATCCTTCCAGGAAAATCAAGAATCACCTTTTTAGATATCAGACTAAATATCCTTGTGACAAATTTTATACCAACAATATAAAAATTAATTTCTTCTGATATAATCACTGCATCAAAACTGACACAGAACTGTACACCTATCCTGTAGGTACACATGGACAATTTCTTTGGCGTTCCAAAATTGGTATATATTCCATCTGGCTCAGGAAATAGGAGCCAGTTTATATACCAAACAAGTGCTGATACATATTCACGTCTGTTTTGGAGTGTTTTTCTTTCTTTCTTACGATTTTCTACCATAACCATGTATTATTTGTCTATGGTAAAATTACAACTTTTAAAAAATCCCTCTTAAGTTCTTAGGGAATCACAGAAGCAGCAACTACTGTTAAGTGAATAAACCATTTGTCCCAAATTATTGCAACTAGGAACTGCCACTAGAATTTGCTGGGCAAAAGAAATGCAGTGGATGGGAGACACACTGAAAGAATGGAGGACAGACAAAATCACCCGAGAACGATGGTTTCCAGAAGTAGGGTAAGTGGAATGGTGAATTTCCTGAGCACAGTGAACATCGGCAGGCTGCCAGGAAAAGAGCAAAGTATGTCAGACTCCAGGGTTGGTTGATTGGTTTTTTCTTTTACATGCTATATATTTTTAATTAAGCTTATTAATTTTCCAAATTAATTTTCACATTTACCATCAACAAATCACATTGAATAACAAAAAAATACATGGAGATTAATTTCATACCACTTTCACTTAGCAATTTATTTATTTTTTATTTTTGGTGACAGAGTCTCACTCTTGCCCAGCCTACAGTGCAGTGGCGCAATCTTGGCTCATTGCAACCTCTGCCTTCTGGGTTTAAGCAATTCTCCTGCCAGGCTGGTCTGAAACTCCTGACCAAAGGTAACCCACCTGACTCAGCTTCCCAAAGTGCTGAGATTACAGGTGTGAGCCACCGCACCCAGTCTTCACTTGGCAATTTAAGACACCATATTGTCCAACCACCCTAAAGGTTGTGCTGAAACTACTTCACAATGTGAACTGATACATCGTTTGACAAATCAGGTCAGGCGTATGCATCAGCAATCGTTAAATGGTCCTGACCAGCTGGGAGTGGTGGCTCTCTCCTATAATCCCAGCACTTTGGGAGGCCAAGACAGGTGGATCATTTGAGGTCAGGAGTTCAAGACCACCGTGGCCAACATGGTGAAACCCCATCTGTACTAAAAGTACCAAAACTAGCTGGGTGTGGTGGTGGGCACTTGCAGTCCCAGCTACTTGGGAGGCTGAGGCAGGAGAATCGCTTGAACCTGGGAGACAGAGGTTACAGTGAGCCAAGATCGCACCACTGCACTCCAGCCTGGGCAACAGAGCGAGACTCTGTCTCAAAAAAAAAGGTCTGACCTTGCACCTAATTACTTCTTGTTGAGAAACTTACTCTTTTTTTTTTTGAGACGGAGTTTCGCTCTTGTTACCCAGGCTGGAGTGCAATGGCGCGATCTCGGCTCACGACAACCTCCGCCTCCTGGGTTCAGGCAATTCTCCTGCCTCAGCCTCCTGAGTAGCTGGGATTACAGGCACGCGCCACCACGCCCAGCTAATTTTTTGTATTTTTAGTAGAGAGAGGGTTTCACCATGTTGACCGGGATGGTCTCGATCTCTTGACCTCATGATCCACCCACCTCGGCCTCCCAAAGTGCTGGGATTACAGGCTTGAGCCACCGTGCCCGGCTGTTGAGAAACTTATTCTAAGGGAATAATCTAAAGAAAGAAAAAACACACATGCATAAATGGGTTCACTGCAGTGTCTGTGGGAAAAACATAAATGTCAGACAGCATCACAATGGTTAAATAAACTAGGATACGTACTTGAGGGAACATGACATTATAACTCTATAATACAAATACTACTGGAAAATGAATATTAAATAAAACAAATGGATACAAAATCATGTAGGGTCTACAACTGTTACAAGATACATTCTGTATATGGAAAAAGGCTGCAAATGATTATTTATTTATTTAGAGATAAAGTCTCACTCTGTCCCCCAGGCTGTGCAGTGCAGTGGCATGATCTCAGCTCACTGCAATCTCCACCTCCCAGGTTCAAGCGATTCTCCTGCCTCAGCTTCCCAAGTAGCTGGAATTACAGGCACCCACTACCACACTCGGCTAATTTTTATATTTTTAGTAGAGACAGGGTTTCGACACATTGGCCAGGCTGGTCTTGAACTCCTGATCTCAGGTGATCCACCGTCTTGGCCACCCAAAGTGCTAGGATTACAGGAGTGAGCCACCACGCTAGGCTGAAAATGAGTATTTAAAATTGTGTGTTAAAGGGTAGAATTATGGGTGATTTTCTTTCCCAAATTTTATGTAATGAGGCTATATATAAATATATAAAATATATTCTTATGAACCTCTCACCCACTCCTAACACCCAGAGATTCCAGGATGCAGCTCAATGCATAGTCAACAGACTGCCAGGGCTGAAATAGCCCATCTCCACCTGCTTCCAGATGCGACCCTGAGCGGCCAATGAGCTAGAGAAAGAAAGTCAGAGCTGGAACAGCAGCACAGGGGAGAGCAGCAGCTCAGCCAACCTGATCCAGCACCAGCTTCACATTATCAACCACACTGCATCCAGAGAGCAGCTAAAAAAGAATGTTCAGGAATTTTATATTCACACCTAAAGATGTCTTATGAAACTGCCTGGACCTACATTTTTTAAAGCTGCAACAACAACAAAACTTTCTATATTTTCAATTAAGTCCAAAAAGTATTTTAGATTATGCCTTTTAAAAGCAAATAAGGTATACTTAATGGTTAAAACGTCTTCCCCCTAAGATCAGGAACAAGACTAGGATGTTCACTCTCACCATTGTATCTATTCAACACTCTACTTGAGGTTTTGATAGTGCAATTAGATAAAACAAACATCTCATTTGGAAAGGAAGAACTAAAGCTATCTGTATTTTCAGAGAACATCTTATATACAGAAAATCCTAAGGGATCCACTTAAAAATTATTAGAACTATGATAAGTGAATCAAGCATATGTGCAGGAAACAAAACTAATATACAAAAGTCAACTCTATATATACACTAGCAATGAGTAATCCAAAATGAAATTAGGCCAGGCACAGTGGCTCATGCCTGTAATCCCAACCCTTTGGGAGGCCGAGCGTGACTTGAGGTTAGGAGTTTGAGACCGGCCTAGCCAACATGGTGAAACCCCACCAATATGAAAAATACAAAAGATTAGCTGGGCTTAGTGATGCATGCCTGTAATCCTAGTTACTCAGACGGCTAAGGTAGGAGAATTGCTTGAACCTGGGAGGTAGAGGTTGCAGTAAGCCAAGTGATCACACCACTGCACTCCAACCTGGGTGACAGAGACTCCATCTCAAAAAAAAAAAAAAAGGAAGTTAGCAAAACAATTTCATCAACAATAGCATCAAAAGCATCAAAAAGAATACAATTCTTAGAAACAATTTTAACCAAAAGAAGTGTAAGACTTGTGTGGGGAAAACTACAAAACATTGTTTAAAAAAATTAAAGAAGCTGGGCCAGGCGCGGTGGCTCAAGCCTGTAATTCCAGCACTTTGGGAGGCCAAGGCGGGTGGATCACAAGGTCAAGTGATCGAGACCATCCTGGTCAACATGGTGAAACCCGTCTGTACTAAAAATACAAAAAAATTAGCTGGGCGTGGTGGCACATGCCTGTAGTCCCAGCTACTCAGGAGGCTGAGGCAGGAGAATTGCCTGAACCCAGGAAGCGGAGGTTGCGGTGAGCCGAGATCGAGCCATTGCACTCCAGCCTGGGTAACAAGAGCGAAACTCCATCTCAAAAAAAAAAAAATTAAAGAAGCCAAGTACGGTGGTTCATGCCTATAATCCCAGCACTTTGAGAGGCTGAAGTGGAAGAACTGCTTGAAGCCAGATGATCGAGACTGGCCTGGGCAACAGAGGAAGCACCTGTCTCAAACCAGAGTTCTCATGAAAGTTGATAGAGGAGCCTGATAGCAGCCCCACCCCCTTGCCACGGGATCTTTGCACACACTGGCTTCCCTTCCCCTTCTCCCAGGAGTGGAAGCAGCCTGAGGCCCTCACCAGTTGCAAATGCTGGTGCCATGCTTCTTGCACAGCCAGCACAACTGAAGCACAGGAACCTTTTTTTCTTGATAAATTACCCAGCCTCAGGTAGTCCTTTACAGCAACACTAACAAACTAAGTCACAGATTCAACACAATCCCTATCAAATCTTAGCTGGCTTTATCTATCTATCTATCTATATATATATATTTTTTTTTTTTTTTGCAGAAATTAACAAGCTAATTTTAAGATTAATAAGGAAATGCAAGGGAATCAAAAAATCAAAACTATCTTGAAAAAGAACAAAGTTGGTGCACTCATATTTTCCATGTCAAAATTTAATACAAAGTTACAGCAATCAAAACTAGCTAGTACCAGTTTAAAGATATATAAATATTTATGGCTGGGCATGGTGGCTCATGCCAATAATCCCAGCAGTTTAGGAGGCTGAGGCAGGCAGATCCTTGGGGCCCAGGACTTCAAGACCAGCCTGGGCAACATGGTGAAACACTGTCTCTACAAAAAGTAAAAAAAATGATTAGCCAGGTGTAGTGGTGTGCACCTGTGGTCTCAGCTACTTGGGAGGCTGAGGTGGGAGGATCGCGTGAGCCTGGAAGGTCAAGGCTGTAGTGAGTGGTGACTGCTACCACACTCCAGCCTGGGTAACAGATCAAGATCCTGTCTCAAGAAAATAATAAAGATAGATATGCAATCAATAGAACAGAATTGAGAGTCAAGAAATACACCCCTTTTTTTTTTTTTTTTTTTTTGAGACGGAGTTTCACTCTTGTTACCCAGGCTGGAGTGCAATGGCGCAATCTCGGCTCACTGCAACCTCCGCCTGCTGAGTTCAGGCAATTCTCCTGCCTCAGCCTACTGAGTAGCTGGGATTACAGGCATGCCCCACCATGCCCAGCTAATTTTTTGTATTTTTAGTAGAGACGGGGTTTCACCATGTTGACCAAGAACGGTCTCGATCTCTTGACCTCGTGATCCACCCACCTCGACCTCCCAAAGTGCTGGGATTACAGGCTTGAGCCACCGCGCCCGGCCAAGAAATACACTCTTAAAATTATGATCAGTTGATTTTCAACCAGGCTGCCAAGACAACCCAATGGAAAAAGAACAGTCTTTTTAACACATGGTGCTGTGACAACTGATATCACATGCGAAAAATGAATCTGAACTTCTATCTCACACCATATATAAAAAATTAACCCATGAGCTGGGTTCTGTGGCATGTGCCTGTAGTCCCAGGTACTCAGGAGGCTGAGGTGGAGAATCATTTGAGCCCAGGAGTTTGAGGGCACAATGAGCCACGACTGTACCAGTGAATAGCTATGGCATTTGAGTCTGGGTAACACAGCAACATAGAAAGGCCCCATCCCTTAAAATAAATAATTTTTTAATTAACTGAAATGTATTAAAGACCTGGATAGAGGAGCCAAAACTCTACAATTCTTAGAAGAAAGTATAGGAGTAAATCTTTATGACCCTTAGGTTAGGCAAAGCCCTAGATAAAACATCAAAAGCACAAGCAACAAAACATAAAAAATTGAAAAACTGGAATTCATAAACATTTAAAAACTTTTATAGGCTAGGCACAGTGGCTCATTCCTGTAATCCCAGCACTTTGGGAGGCTGGGACAGGCAGATTGCTTGAGCTCAGGAGTTCAAGACCAGCCTGGGCAACATGGTGAGATCTAGTCTCTACAAAAATATTAAAAAAAGCCAGGCATGGTGGCACACATCTGTAGCCCCAGCTACTCAGGAGACTGAGAGAGGAGAATGGCTTGAGCCCAGCAGGTTGAGGCTGCAGTAAGCTATGATAGCATTACTGCACTACAGCCTGTGTAATGAAGCGAGATCCTGTCTCAAAGAATAAATAAATAAACGGATTTTTATAAACGGATAAACAACATGTAATATATATATACCTGCAATGAAATACAAATCAGCCTGAAAAAGGAATTAAATTCTGATACCTAATATGACCTGGATAAACCATGAAAATATTATGTAAGTGAATAAATCATACAAAAAAAGGCAAAACTATTGTACAAATCCACTTGTATGAGATGTCTAGAGTAGGCAAATTTGTAAGAGAATTAAATGTAAACTATAAAACATATGGAAGATAGCATAGAAAATCTGGGTGATCTTGGTTTGAGGATGAGTTTCAAATACAACACCAGAAGCATAATTCATGAAAGAAAAAAAAATTGATTGTGAATTTCATTAAAATTAAAAACTTCAAGGCCAGGTGTGGTGGCTCACACCTGTAAATCCCAGCACTTTTGGTTGAGAGGCCAAGGTGGATGGATCGTGAGATCAGGAGATCGAGACCATCCTGGCTAACACAGTGAAATCCTGTCTACTAAAAATACAAACATTAGCTGGGTGTTGTAGCACACGTCTGTAGCCCCAGCTACTCAGGAGGCTGAGGCAGAACTGCTTGAACCCGGGAGGTGGAGGTTGCAGTGAGCCGAGATGGCGCCACTGCATTCCAGCCTGTACAACAGAGCGAGACTCCATCTCAAAAAAAATTTTAAACTTGGCTGGGCGCGGTGGCTCAAGCCTGTAATCCCAGCACTTTGGGAGGCCGAGGCAGGTGGATCACGAGGTCAAGAGATCGAGACTATCCTGGCCAACATGGTGAAACCCCGTCTCTACTAAAAATACAAAAAATTAGCTGGACACCGTAGTGCGTGCCTGTAATCCCAGCTGCTCATGAGGCTGAGGCAGGAGAATTGCCTGAACCCAGGAGGCGGAGCTTGCGGTGAGCCGAGATCGCGCCATTGCACTCCAGCCTGGGTAACAAGAGCGAAACTCCGTCTCAAAAAAAAAAAAAAAAAGGACTTGTAACAACTACATGAAAAACCATAAATCCATGATAGGAAAAAACAAAAACAACCCTCCCCGATCACTAACGAAGGTGTCAGGACACTAACTTATTAGTCTGAACATTGATAAAGGAAGCTTTTATCCTGCTTTTCCTATATGAAGTAATGAAAATTTGTCCTTATTGAAAAAGTCTAAGCCAGGCGCAGTGGCTATAATCCCAGCACTTTGGGAGGCCAAGACCGGCAGATTACTTGAGGTCAGGAGTTCCAGACCAGTGTGGCCAACATGAGTAAAACCCCGTCTTTACTAAAAGTACAAAAATTAGCTGGGCATGATGGCAGGCACGGAACCCAGCTACTTGGGAGGCTGAGGTAGGATAATCACTTGAACCTGGGAGGCAGAGGTTGAAGTGAACCAAGATTGTGCCACTGCACTCCAGCCTGGATGACCGAGTGAGACTCCATCTCAAAAGTGAAAAAGAAAATGTTTAGACAATAAAGGCAGAAGGTAACTATTTTTTTGCAATTTGTAATTAAATAAGTTTAGACAATGATTATCAACAGCTGCTAAAACAATTAGGGGTAATAGTGATTGTGAACCTTGTAAGGAAGGGACAAGAGATCAACCCTATAAAATCATTAGCAGTGAAATTGATCCATTTAATAGCATTCCGAGAAGGACAAGGTATTATGTACCCCATAATCAAAAGATCCTGAAATAGGCCAGGCGCTGTGACTCACACCTGTAATCCCAGCACTTTGGGAGGCCAAGGCAGGTAGATCACCTGAGGTCAGGAGTTCAAGACTAGCCTGGCCAACATGGTAAAACCCCATCTCTACTAAAAATACAAAAATTAGCTGGGCATGATGGCAGGCACCTGTGATCCCAGCTACTCGGGAAGCTGAGGCAGGAGAGTCACTTGAAACCAGAAGGCAGAGGTTGCAGTGAGTTGATATAGCACCACTTCACTCTAACTTGGGCTACAGAGTGAGACTCTGTCTCACAAAAAAAGAAAAAAAAAATGGAAATAAATGTAGATGCAAATTTCAGAATTACATAGCACACTTGAAAATGTCTGCCATTTATTTTTCCCTGCACCAAACCTGGTCTATACCAAGCCTGAGGGGATGTTCCTGCTCTTAGAAAACTGATGAAACCGAAAGTCACACAAAACCACATTCACACCAACAACCCTACTGAATAAATCAGACTTTCTCTACCTTAATGTTACAGCTCTCATGTACTATGTTCAGGCCTGAATATAATACAAAACATAAGCTTTTTAACATTCCTAAAATCATCAACAAATTAAACTCAAAACTCCACCTTGCTTTCTTAAATTACTAAACATTATTGTCTTCTATATATAGTGCAAGCAGTATCAATGGCAAAATCAAACTTGGTCTTTGTACCACTGGCAGCACAGCCATAATCCCGCACTCTACCTTAATTTACTTGTGCTTGATAATCCACTTATGTGGTTCCCAACGTAGAGGAGAGGCAGAGGAAATAGCTTCAATTAAAAAAAAAAAAAATGAATGAATATTTTGTTAGAACTCCAACAGGCATTTTCCTACACATACAAAAATGGTAACAGATACTTCACCAGAGAGGATATTCAAAAAGGCATTAAAAAATAATTCTGGCAGGCCATGGTGGCATCCCAGCACTTTGGGAGGCCGAAGCAGGCAGATCACAAGGTCAGGAGTTCAAGACCAGCCTGGCCAACATAGCGAAACCTCATCTCTACTAAAAATACAACAATTAGCTGGGCATGTTGGCACATGTCTGCAGTCCCAGCTACTCAGGAGGCTGAGGCAGGAGAATCACTTGAACCCAGGAAGCAGAGGTTGCAGTGAGCTGAGATTGTACTGCAGTCCAGCTTGGGCAACAGATCAAGATTTGTTGTATTTTTCATCTCAAACAAAAAAAAGAAAGAAAAGGTGCTCCTCCTCACTAGTCATCAGGGAAATACAAATTAAAGCCTATAAGATGTCACGACACACTCACCAGATTAGCAAATTGTATTTATTTATTTATTTATTTGAGACAGAGTTTCCCTCTGGTTGCCCAGGCTGGAGTGCAATAATGTGATCTTGACTCACTGAAACCTCCACCTCCCAGGTTCAAGCAGTTCTCCTGCCTCGGTCTCCAGAGTAACTGGGATTACTGGCACCTGCCATCAGACCCGGCTAATTTTTTGTATTTTTAGTAGAGACGGTTTTGCCATGTTGGCCAGGGTGGTCTTGAACTCCTAGCCTCGCGTGATTTGCCCGCCTCAGTCTCCCAAAGTGCTAAGATTACAGGTGTGAGCCACCGCACCCGGCCCAGATTAGCAACATTTAAAATTACTCGCATACCAGGAATAGGAACAACAGGGACTTTCATGCATGCTTGCCAGAACGTGAATTGGTGCAGCCACCATGAAGAACAGTTCAGCATCACATATTGAAGCTGAAGATACGCACACCCCAGGGGCCAGTAGTTCCACTCCCTAATGGACACATTCCTCACTCATATGCATTGTTATGGACTGAATCTTGTCTTTCCCCAAATTCATATGCTGAAGCCTAATCCCCAAATTTGACTGTATTTGGAGATGAGGTCTCAACCAAGGTAATTCAGGTTACATGAGGGCATAGTGACAGAGCTCTAGCCCAACAGGACTGGTGTCCCTATACAAAGAGCAGAGGGCAGATACAGTGGCTGATACCTGTAATCGTAACACTTTGGGAGGCCCAGGCAGGAAGATAGCTTAAGCCCAGGAGTTCAAGGCCAGCCCTGGTAACATAGTGAGACCCTGTCTCTACAAAAGAAAAAAAAAAAAAAAAGCTTAATTAGCAAGGCATGGTAGCAAATGCATGCAGTCCCAGCTAGGAAGAAGGATCACTCGAGCCCAGGATTTCGAGTCTGCAGTGAACTGTGGATGTACCCCTGCACTCTAGCCTGAGTAACAGAGCTAGACCCTGTTTCAAAATAATAATAATTAAAATGAAAATAAAAACAGAAAAAAAGAAGTGGAAGAGATACCAGGAGTGCACACACAGAGGAAAGGCCATTGAGGAAACAGTGAGAAGGTGGCCGTCTGCAAGCCAGGAAGCAAAGCCTCACCAGAAGTCAACCCTGCCAGCGCCTTGGTCCCGGACTCCAGCCTCTAGAACTGTGAGGAGATCTGTTTCTGTTGCTGAAGCCACCTGGCTTGGGGTATATTGTTATAGTAGCCATGGCTAACATATGTACACCAGGGTCCAAATATAAGCATGGTCAGAGTGGTACTTTTTATTTTTTCTAGCCCCCAAACTGGAAGCATCCAAATTACCATGAACAATAGAACAGATAAGTAAATTGTGGTATATTCATACATGAAAAGAATACAACCACACAGATGAATTTCACTATCATAACAGTAAGTGGAAGAAGCAAGATACAAAATAACATAGATTATATTCCCTTTATCTCACGTTAAAAAGCAGGTAAAACTACAGAATTTAGGGATGCATCTAGATTTAGAAAAATTACAAAGAAAGCAAGAAAAATATTGTTAGAAAAGTTAGGATAGTGGGTAAGGAAGACTTTGTGATCCCATTTCACAACCTAAGTAATGTTTTACAAGGTTAATTATTCATTCAACTACACATTCAAATAAGATGCCTTTTTCTCTATGTATAGATCAGATTTTACCGTTTTAAAATTATACCATAAATAAGAGTAATCAAGCGCAGCAATTTTCTGTTTTCTCTCTCTCTCTTTTTTTTTTTTGAAACAGTCTCACTATGCTGCCCGCCCTGATCTCCAACTCCTGGCCTCAAGTGATCCTCCTGCCTTGGCCTCCCAAGTTGCTGGAATTATAGGCATGAGCCACCACATGGGGCTCCCGATTACTGATGCTGTAAGCATGTGCTGCTTTAGTCTGTCAGATAAATAATCCACCGCTAGATGCTGACATTTTTCCAAGCATTAGAGAAACAGCAGCAAACCAGCCACATGAGGTCCTCACCCTCAGGGAACTGACAGTCTAATTTAAATCCAAATGCTGTCATATCCATTTAATACCACCTGTTGTATGGGACTGGTCCAAGAACTAAATGCCTGCCCTAATGTCTGGAACCCAGTGACTGTTCAACAAATATTAGTTCCATTCCACAGTCCAGGAAGGAATGGCAGATTTTGTTTCTAGTTCCATGATGGAAAAAACTCCGTATTTCTATGTATATCAAATTGCTTTCTTCATTCCACTCAGAGCTTTTGACAATCCAGGCCAAAAATGAACACTGAAAACAGAAATCAGTAAACTAGGGCCCAAATCCAGCCCAGCTCTTGTTTATGTTAGTAAGGTTTTACTAGAACATATGGATATCAATCCATTTAAATGTCATCTAGGGCTACTTTCATAGTACAGCAGCAGAGGTGAATGATTACAAAAGATGATCTGACCCTTTACCAAAAAAGTTTGCCAGCCCTTAATTTAGAGTTCTCTCACTTCAGAAGACACAGAGTCACTGTATTCATTCATTTGATGTCCATTGTTAAGCATATACTTTTACTACTATTCCATTACATAAATGAAAAACTGAATGATATACAATCTTTATTAAGAAGTTTATTGGTCAGGAGCGGTAGCTCATACCTGTAATCCCAGCACTTTGGGAGGCCAAGGTGGGCGGATCACTTGATGTCAGGAGTTTGAGACCAGCCTGACCAACATGGTGAAACCCATCTCTACTAAAAATACAAAATTTAACTGGGCATGGTGGTGCATGCCTGTAATCCCAGCTACTAGGGAGGTTGAAGCCGGGAAATCACTTGAACTAGGGAGTCAGAGGTTGCAGTGAGACAAGATGCACTGCACTTCAGCCTGGTGACAGAGTGAGACTCCATCTCAAAAAAAAAAAAAAAAAATAGCCGGGTGTGGTGGCAGATGCTTGTAATCCCAGCTAATCAGGAGGCTGAGACAGGAAAATCACTTGAACCCAGGAGGCGGAGGTTGCAGTGAGCAGAGATCGCTCCATTGTACTACAGCCTGGGCAGCAGAGCAAGAGTCCATCTCAAACAAAAAAAGAAGTTTCTATCAAGTGCAGGGAGGAAGTACAGTCTGTATAGAAATGGACCTGTACTCTAAAATCAATGTGTATTTTCCCATCTTCTATCACAGTTGTATATACTGTTTATTACATACCTTTACAGGAATTTTCTTATCAAAATCAGGGAAGTGAATTATTTTATTTAGCTTGGACACATATAGTATCATTATGGTGGCTGCCATCTGAAGAAAAGGGGAGAGAGAAACTTCAGTAAAATATCTGCAGATTGCTTGAGGTGCAGTGACATTATCAGAAGAAAACACATTCATCAAAAAGAAATATGGCAAAAAATTCATTTTCCAGGTTCCAGAAAAAATAACTATTTCTTAGAATATTAAGATTGTTTTTCTTGCCACAGTACAGATTCCATCAGAACTCTAGGCAAAAAATGTAATGTCAGTCAGGGTGAGGTGGCTCACACCTATAATCCCAGCACTTTGGGAGGCTGAGGCAGGCAGATCACTTCAGGCTAGGAGTTTGAGACCAGTGACAAAACCCCGTCTCTACTAAAAATACAAAAATTAGCCAGGAATGGTGGTGGACACCTGCAATTCCAGCTACTCTGGAGGCTGAGGCCTGAGAATCGCTTGAACCCAGGAGGCCGACGTTGCAGTGAACCAAGATCGTGTGACTGCACTCCAGCCTGGGCAACAGAGTGACACACCACTGTCTCAAAAAAAAAAAAAGATAATATCAGCTGGGTGCAGTGGCTCATGCTTGTAATTTCAGCACTTTGGGAAGCTAAGGTGGGAGGATCATCTGGGCCTAGGAGCTCAAGACCAGCCTAAGCAACATGGTGAAACTCATCTCTACAAAAAATACAAAATCTTAGCCAGTCTTGGTGACGTGTGCCTATGATCCCAGTTATTCAAGATACTGAGGTGGGAGGATCACCTGAGCCTAGAAAGTCAAGGCTGCAGTGAGCCATGATTATGCCATTGCACTCCAGCCTGGGCAGCAGAGCAAGACTCTATCTCAAAAATAATAATAACAATATGTATATAAATAATATCAAATAGACTTACACATACACATTATCTCAAGGGGCTCTAGGAATGGAACTGTGGCAGAAGGAGAAAGGGAGTGGTGCCTCTGACAGTGACAAATGTGCAAAAGTGGCCAGAGTCAGTGAGGTGACACACTGATCCTGGACCTTGCTTCCCGTATACTAAACATACAGTCATCTTCCCCCATAAAGGCACGGGAACATTCTTTTAAAAGGGACTTCACACATAAGCACATTTTTTTAAAGTCTATTATTTCCATAAAATAGAAGACTAACAGAGGAAAAAAAGGTTAAAGAGAGATTTGCTTTTCAATCTAACTGATATAGCAAGAATGCCTCATTCAAATCCTCTTAATCTGGAGGACCCTATGTATACTGGAAATACTCCATATCATTATTGTTAAATTAAAAAATTTAATGTCATCTTCCTTGCAAGTTTTAGAACTTAATTCTCTCTGCCTTAGGATGCAAAAATTTAAGATTCCTTCAACACGATTATAACCCTATACGTCGCTCCTGAGTTTGCAAACTTAATATCTATCATATATTTATGTAATTAAGACCACCCTGAATTATAACTGTACTTTGTACTTATGCCTCACTTTATAATTCTTGAAAAAATTCAATAAAACTGACCAGGCACAATGGCTCATGCCCATAATCCCAACACTTTGGAGGCCAAGGTGGGCAGATCGCTTGAGCCCAGACGTTCCAGACCAGCCTAGGCAACATGGCAAAACCGTATCTCTATAGAAAATTTAAAAAATTAGCCAGTGTGGTGGTGTGCGCCTGTAGTCCCAGCTACTCGAGAGGCTGAGGCAGGAGGATCACTTAAGCCCAGGAGGTCAGGGCTGCAGTGAACCAAGATCACGCCATTGCACTCCAGCCTAGGCAACAGAGCCAGACACTGTCAAAAAGAAAGAAAGATAAAATAAAATAAACATATACACATTTACTTAAAGTAAATGTAATTCAGACTTTAAAAATTAGGTCTGACTGGCTTTTCCCCTCAACAAATTGCAAATCAGAAAGGCTTTACCTTTGAGTATAAGCCAGTGGGTTAAAGAGTAATGAGTTTATTTCACCTGGTGATTACAAAGGGCACCTTATAACTGATTTTTTTTTTTTGAGACACAGTCTTGCTGTGTCACCCAGACTGCAGTGCAGTGATGCAATCTCAGCTTATTGCGACCTCTGCCTCACAGTGAATGTTCAACTGATTTCTGGCTAATTTTTGTATTTTTAGTAGAGATGGAGTTTCGTCATGTTGTCCAGGCTGCTCTCGAACTCCTGACAAGTGATCCACCCACCTTGGCCTCCCAAAATGCTAGCATTATAGGCATGAGCCACTGTGCCCGGCCTGAATTTTTTTTTAATGTGTTTTCTAATATTTTTACATTGAAATATAAAGATAATTTTTTTACTGTAATAAAATTCTTGTTATAATTTTTCTCCCTAAAATGATGCTGCAAAGAGTTACTTATTAGCAAGACATTTAATCAGAGTAATGTTTACCCACATAAATGACAGGCTTTTCGAGATTCACAATTAAAAATTTAGTTAACAAATACTAGTTTCATAATGTTAAGCTTTTCCCTCTATAAATTAAAACAAAATCAAAACAAACAAACAAAAAACATTGGGGCCTGTTACACTTGTTTATCTGGAAATCAACAGGATACAACCACATGAATAAACGAGCCACAAATTAACATGAATGGGAAATTTCAGAAACTGCCAAATGGGCGTAGTTTAAAAGCTTACCCAAACTCATCCTTGTACTTCAGAGCAAAAATCACAAACTCCAGGAAGCAAACTGCAAACGTTTTGTTTGGCACATAGGGAGTTTTGTAAAATTTGAATCAGTTGCCAGCATTTATGAATTTGAAGATTTGATGTAAAAATTCAAACTCTCGGCCGGGCGCGGTGGCTCACGCCAATAATCCCAGCACTTTGGGAGGCTGAGGCAGGTGGATCACGAGGTCAAGAGATCAAGACCGTCCTGGTCAACATGGTGAAACCCCGTCTCTACTAAAAATACAAAAATTAGCTGGGCATGGTGGCGTGCGCTTGTAATCACAGCTACTTGAGAGGCTGAGGCAGGAGAATATCTTGAACCTGGGAGGCAGAGGTTGCTGTGAGCCGAGATCGTGCCACTGCACTGCAGCCTGGCCTCTGTTTAAAAAAAAAAAAAAATCAAACTCTCAGCTAGGCATGGTGGCTCATGCCTGCAATCCCAGCACTTTGGGAGGCCAAGGTGGGTGATCACCTGAGGTCAGGAGTTCGAGACCAGCCTGGCTAACATGGCGAAACCACTTCTCTATTAAAAATACAAAAATAAGGGGCCAGGCGCAGTGGCTCACGCCTATAATCCCAGCACTTTGGGAGGCCAAGGCGGGTGGATAACGAGGTCAAGAGATCGAGACCATCCTGGTCAACAAGGTGAAACCCTGTCTCTACTAAAAATACAAAAATTAGCTGGGCATGGTGGTGCACGCCTGTAGTCCCAGCTACTTGGGAGGCTGAGGCAGGAGAACTGCTTGAACCCGAAGGCAGAGGTTGCGGTGAGCCGAGATCGCTTGAACCCAGAAGGCGGAGGTTGCGGTGAGCCGAGATCGTGCCATTGCACTCCAGTCTGGATAACAACAGCAAAACTCCATCTCAAAAAATACAAAAATAGCTGGGCATGGTGGCAAGTGCCTGTAATCCCAGCTAATCAGGAGGTTGAGGTGGAAGAGTCTCTTGAACCAGGGAAGCGGAGGTTGCAGTGAGCCAAGATCGTACCATTGCACTCCAGCCTGGGCAGCAAGAGCAAAACTCTGTCTAAAAAAAACAAAAAAATTCAAACTGTCTCTTGAAAAGCTCCTGATGCTAATAAGGGCAGCATGGTGAGTCCCATGCCACCTCCCAATCCTTTTCCTATCAGGCACAATGGTTTAAACTAAGTATCAACCTCACACTTTAAGTGGGACAAGTATTCTCTCTCCCAACCAGTCCTCAGCCAACTCATGTGTTACCCTCCAGGCCTTGGAGGCTTTGAGTCTTGTATTCCTCTGCTTTAGAGTAATTAAATTCAGTTAAGGAACTTAAAATAAGCAGCTGCTTTTCCCATAAATACAAGTGTTCCTAAATTGTAGAATCAAATAAAGTAAGTCCTGTTGTCTCACCAAGAGTACCATGAGCCTCTGGTCCTCAGCCAGCTGGATAAATTTGCAAACCACAGCTTTAAACAAAAGGACTTAAAACGTCATTATGTACACTGATGACAAAATAGGAGGTTAATTCCATTTTTCCACTCACCTGTCCAATTCCAAGGAAAATTGGTGACGGGAAACTACAAAGAACACAGAACAACAAATCAGTTAAGCAAATATAACAATCTGAAGATAGTACATAATAAATAATGAAAAGTTATTAAAAAGTCTGAGAAAATGAAAATTTGTCAAACTTGTCCATTTTTCGTTTCTTTTTTTTAATTTTATTTTTAAGACCATGTCTTGCTCTGTTGCCCACCCTGGAATGCAGTGGTATAAACATGGCTCACTGGAGTCTCAACCTTCTGAGCTCAGAAGGTCTCTCACCTCAGCTTCCTGCCACCCAGGCTGGAGTGCAGTGGTGTGATGGCTCAAGCCATCCTTCTACCTCCACCTCCCTAGTAGCTGGGACCACAGGCGCATGCCACCACACCCAGCTAAACTATGTATATATACATACATATATATTTTTTGTAAACGTGTGTGTGTGTGTGTGTGTGTGTGTGTGTGTTTTGAGATGGAGCCTCACTCTATCACCCAGGCTGGAGTACAGTGCAGCAATCTCAGCTCACTGCAACCTCTGCCTCCTGGGTTCAAGTAATTCTCCTGCCTCAGCCTTCTGAGTAGCTGGGATTACAGGCGTGTGCCACCATGCCTGGTTAATTTTTGTATTTTTAGTAGAGATGGAGTTTCACCACATTGGTCAGGCTGGTCTTGAACTCCTGACCTCAAGTTATCTGCCCACCTCAGCCTTCCAAAGTGCTGGGATAACAGGCGGGAGACACTGTGCCCAGCTAAACATGATATATTTTTAATTTGCTTCAAAATACTATGGGGGCAATGGTGGAGTGAATAGGAGAGAGATACAAATGCAGCAAAGCTGTGGACTCTGGGTAATAGTTACAGAGTGATTCATTATAGTAGTTTTAAAAGATAATATACCCAGGAACAAATCTAATCAAAGATTTGCAAGAAAGACATCTGTATAAAACATTATACATCAATATTCTAAAAATTAAAGATCTAAATAAAGGTCATGGGTTGGAAACTTGATATTGTAGTGAGGTCCATTATCCCCAAACTTATTTATAGAATCAGTGCAATCTCAGCAGAAATATCAACAGATATTTTGTGGAAACTGACAAGCTGATCATAAACCTGAATGAAAAAAAGGCAAAGAGCACAAACCACCCAAGACAATCCTGAAGATAAACAAAATCAGAGGAATTACTCTAATGGATGTCAGAATTCATTTTCAAATTACAATAAATGAGATTGTGTGGTAGTTGCACAAAGATAATCCAATGGGACAATGGAAAATAACAGAGGTCAAAACCGAGACACACATATATGGACACCTGATTTATGATACAGATGCCACTGCAGATCAGTGGGGAGAAAATCTTTCAGCAAACCCAGATCTTTCAGCACTGGGTGATTTGGATGCAGACTCCTGACCCCTACCTCACATCATATTTAACAAGGCAGGACTGTACCTGCACTGGCTCAACCTTCATTGGCTCCCAGTCACTTCTCAGGCTACTTACAAAGCTGGAATACCCCATAAAACTGAGCCATCAATCTATATGTTGGAGGGGAAACACACTTATCTCAGACAGGCTAAGAAGAGAATAAAGAACAAATCTATCTTATCAGAGAAAGTAGAATGAATGGCTAAACAGTAAGAGCATGCAAATAGGCCGGACGCAGTGGCTCAAGCCTGTAATCCCAGCACTTTGGGAGGCCGAGGCCGGTGGATCATGAGGTCAAGAGATGGAGACCATCCTGGTCAACATGGTTGAAACCCCATCTCTACTAAAAATACAAAAAATTAGCTGGGCATGGTGGTGCGTGCCTGTAATCCCAGCTACTCAGGAGGCTGAGGCAGGAGAATTGCCTGAACCCAGGAGGCGGAGGTTGCAGTGAGCCGAGATCGCACCATTGTACTCCAGCCTGAGTAACAAGAGCAAAACTCCGTCTCAAAAAAAAAAAAGAGCATGCAAATAAAATGAACTCTAGTGAGTACTAGGTCATCCCACCCATACACTCCCTTCCTCATGGAAGCACCCATTCCCCAACTGGGCCCTCTGCTGAAGAAAGCTGTCTGATAGTAGCATGTCTACTCCCTGAGCATAGCCTGCATTTTAACTGTTGGTCTCTGCAGGGGTGTAACGGCTACACCCTAGCCCCAATTCAGGACAGCTCTGCAGAGCCAGTCCGGCTCTAGAGCCCCTGGGACGAGGCCTTTGCTGTAACTGCATCAGAGCTCAACTTCTCCCTCTGCCTAATTCTGCTTCCCAGGATCACTTTCCAACACACTTCCTACACCTCTGAGAATACAACCTGTAACACTAAGCAAAATCACAAGGCAACAATTTAAACAAACAGTAAAACAACAACAAAAAGGGTCACATAGCTGGGCACGGTGGTTCATGCCTGTAATCCCGGCACTTTGAGATGCAGAGGGTGGTGGATCACCTGACGTCAGGAGTTCAAGACTAGCCTGACCAAATACGGCAAAACCCCTGTCTCTAAAAATACAAAAATTAGCTGGGCATGGTGGTGGGCACCTGTAATCCCAGCTACTCGGGAGGCTGAGGCAGGAGAATGGCTTGAACCCAGGAGGTAGAGGTTGCAGTGAGCTGAGACCCCACCACTCACTGCATTCCAGTCTGGGTGACCGAGTGAGACTTTGTCTCCAAAAAATTAATTAATTAATTAATTTTGAAAAAATAAACAGTAAAACAACAACGAAAAGACTCACAGACAGTAAGACAAAGAGCCCAGCCTAGAAGAAAATATAATGCATGGAAGAGAAGGGAGTCATTGCTTCAGGCCACGGAACACCTCAGAAATAATAAAACCAAAAAAACAAGAGCTCAAAGTTAAGTTGATGAGACAGTCAAAGGAGATGAAAAGAAAGCATGCAGACCTAGGGAAACCAACTGAGGACCCCACAACCTAACTGCCACATGAGGAAATACCTCTAGAAACACGCAGGAGCTAAATGGCCACTGCTGGAAATGGAATCATCGACATCTGAGGTGATCATAGTGCATGCAGAGGAAAACAAGTCTAAAAGATCAATCAATCTAGAAGACAGAAAACCACCACCATACAGGGCTAGTTACTGGACCTCGACTTTAGAAGACATTATTCCATAACTTTATATTGAATTCTACTCTATAATTAAAATTGAATCACCTTACTGAGTTATTAAACTACCCAAAAGGCCAAATGCAGTGGCTCACGCCTCTAATCCCAGCACTTTGGGAGGCTGAGCAGGTGGATCACCTGAGGTCAGGGGTTCGAGACCAGCCTGACCAACACGTTGAAACCCCGTCTCTACTAAAAAATACAAAAATTAGCCAGGTGTGGTGGCACACATCTGTAATCCCAGCTACTCGAGAGGCTGAGGCAGGAGAATCGCTTGAACCTGGGAGACAGAGGTTGCAGTGAGCTGAGATCGTGCCACTGCACTCCAGCCTGGGTGACACAGTGAGACTCCATATGAAGATAGAACTGAAACATGGGGTCTAAAAGAAACACAATGACGTTAGGTTTTTAATATTTTTTTACTGATCTTAGACCTCTTAAATTTAGAGGGATCATTCAAGACTTTTTTTTTTTTTTGAGATGGAGTTTCACTCTGTCACCCAGGCTGGAGAGCAGTGATGCAATCCCCACCCACTGCAACCTCTGCCTCCCAGGTTCAAGCAATTCTCCTGCCTCAGCCTCCCAAGTAGTTGGGACTACAGGCATACGCCACCACATCCAGCTAATTTTTGTATTTTTAGTAGAGACGGGGTTTCACCATGCTGGCCAGGATGGTCTCGATCTCTTGACCTCATGATCCACCTGCCTCAGCTTCACAGAGTGCTGGGATTACAAGCGTGAGCCACCACGCCCGGCCCTTTTAAGACATACTAATCTTTGTAATGAAGAAATATATATTTGAAAGTCAGTAATTCTTTCAGTTGAACTTCTGTTTCTCTTTTCTCTTTTCAATTCAGTTAAAACTAAATTTCATACACACGTACTATGACACTCCCCATCCAAATAACTCTTCAAGTGCAGCCAGCATGACTCACACTGCGGCCCCTCCTGATACAATTTGAGATGAAATTCCCAGGGTGGGTCTCAAGTATTCCTGCCAAAAAATGTTTAAACCAAATGAAATCAATTCTTTAGATCTAACTTTCAGTTAGAAAATAGCAGAAAATAAGTAATTGAGACTTCAAAAAATAAATTGGACAATCCAAAATGTGGGGCATTTTACAAAACAACTGGTACAGGCTTTTCAAAAAGTCAGTATTATGTGGAGGGGGCGGGATAAGGAACTTTTCTACATTAAAAGCAACTAAAAAGACAAACATATATGTATTGCATGAGCCTTGATTGCATCATAAAACCATAAAAACATCTTTGGGACAATTGGCATTGTGGGGGGGAAAGGAGAAATGAAACTTTTTAATCTAAGGAATTATCAGGCAAAGAGAGGCTCTGGAATGTAACAGCAGTCGTATCACTCTTCTTTGAGCTAAATAATTACCTCTTAAAGCCACTTGCTATGTGGGCGCTAGACTGATACCAAGTAGCCATAAAATGCCACACACCCTATAGTTGGACAATGTGTAGTCAATTACTAATCAATGTTATTTCTGCAAACCAATGAGAATTCCTGACAAACCACTTTTGTAATCACCCCTTCCCTGATTTGCCCTTTTTTTCTTTAAAAACTTGAGCCTCTCTTTTGTTCTCCTGAGCACTCCCGAAAGAAACATGTAATTATTTCAAGTGTCCCAGGCTGCAGTCTTCAGCCTCAGCCCAGATCAGCTCTCTATATTAATTTTGCCTCAGCGGCCAGGCGCCGTGGCTCAAGCCAGTAATCCCAGCACTTTGGGGGGCGGAGGCGGGTGGATCACGACGTCAACAGATCGAGACCATCCTGGTCAACATGGTGAAACCCCCTCTCTACTAAAAATACAAAAAAAAAAAAAAAAAAAAAAAGTTAGCTGGGCATGGTGGCGCGTGCCTGTAATCCCAGCTACTCAGGAGGCTGAGGCAGGAAAATTGCCTG